GATTTAATTCTGAATTTTAAGATTAATTCTTTTTTTCTGTAATTTGACTGGATTTTCTCACCTTCCTTATTAAGGAGAAAGTTGGGCTTGTGTTTTCTATCATGACAGCACCCTTCCCTGAGACTATGTGCTGATAAACAAGGCTCTGCAACTTCCAAAACCATTTTTTCTTCTAGATACTAACCAAAGCAATAACAATTTTATCTGAAGAACACAAATACATCTGAGGTGACCAACAAAGAGAAAACAGCTTTTTATTACCTGACATATTCTACAAAGTTGTCAGCAAAAGAAGAGTAGGTTGACTGAAATGCACATCAGTCAATAAAGCAACCATCATCATTTCAAATCACTCAGGGAAAAATACGTTTATCTGTGGCTGCTTTTATGAGTGGAAATTAATTCAGCCAAATTTCAGAGAGGAATAAATGGCCTTTTGTCAGAGCCATCATAGCCAAATTGTTATTACTTTCTTACTTCCATCACGATGTCTAAAACCAGAATTTCACATGACATGTGAGTGCAGAGTCCCCTCAAAAAGCAACCAAGGAGAGGATATTGCACACAACCAAAGCCAGCCCCTTCCAGAGCTGGATGTGTTCACACCTACCTGATCTGGGTGAAAAAAGAAAACAGTGCAGGGTGAATGTGCCAACTTAAATCCAGGGTAAGGTGTGCTGCTGCATTTCAAATGAATTGCATGTGGCAGGTCAGTTTTACCAAACAAGAAGGGAACCACAAGTGTTACATCTCAGGAAAGCACAGGTTATGATCACTAGATCAATACAAGATAAATAACAGTGTATCCCACACAGCCTGCTTATCTTAAATCAGTGCTGCCAAACTATGCCTTTTGAATGAGAGCTAAAAATGATATTGAAGGTTTTCATATGGCTTGTACTTCAGAGTGAATCCATTCAGCCTGGGGAGACATAAAGATCTCAGAGAATCTGCTCTTATCTAGCAGCAGCATTCCTGCTTCACCAGGCCTGAGGACACTTTTAATGCATCTGACCAGCAGGGTCACTCAGGCATCCCTTCCCACAGAACAGAGCCCTAATTTGATGAGTATGCAGAGCATAACACAAAGCAAATCACAACAGCTTTAGACCCTGTGCCCTGCTCATCCTCCCCAAACAGCTCCAATTCTGCTTTCAGTGACCAGTTCCCAAACTTTTCTGACAAATGAGTCATTACCTATCCACCCATGATTCTTTTGGCAGAAGAAAAAGCCTTGTGCAACATCCATCACTCGGAGGGATGGTAACAACAACTGAAAACCAGCTCTTACCAACAGGGCACTGCTCACAGGGAGCAAGGGGCCAGTGTACAAATCCGTGTGCCAGCCTCGCCCAGGCACAGCATCTGCAGGCCACCACTAGAAACCCCCACCTCTAACAGAGGGACAGGGCTGACTCCCCAGGTTTTTTCATGCTGAGAAAAGCTTGGCCACTGCAGCTGAGTGCCAGACAGAGCCGGATCTGCAGGAGAGCTGGCCCCAGCATTGCAGCCCCACTGCTGCACACAAAAGACTCCCAGAGAATGGCTGAGCTCTCCAGTTACCCCAATACCATTACTAACAATTACCTTGCACAGCAAAAAAGATGACTTTTATGCATTTTTCCTGAACATTTGAAGGAACCATCTCCTAAATATCACCTTTCCTGTGAAACTTTGAGTTTACCCGAGTAGCATCTCACTCCATGCTTACCTCACCCTGCCTGACTCTACTTTTCCCACCTGCAAACCCTTCCCCTTTTGTTTCCTCTATCATCAATGTGCTCCTGTTTAGAATAATTTTAAAATTAAGTTTTCATGTTAGTTCTTTATTAAGTATCTTGATTTAAGTTTGTTCTGTTGAAAAATAAGTAAATGGCATTCAGCAGATCCGTTCCAACCCAGGCCATTCTATGATTCTGTGGCTCTATATTTGCAATTTCTTGTGCAGAGTATAATCTGTACTTCATTTTCCTGTCATATCATACTGATAGAGGCCCTATCAGCTAATTAAAGATTTTTACCCTTTTTCTTTTCTCTGTTTTCTCAGACACAAAGTTCTGATTTTTTTTAATAACACCTGATTTTTATGGAAGACATCTCTTCCAGATAGACATTCTGGAAGCAGCAGCAATAATTTCTGACCTATTATGGGCAAATCAGCAGTATTAAGTGATCTTCAAAGCACTTCTGTAGATGGTACAAAATGTATATAAGCTGCTCCATTGGCAAAATTATCTACCTTCTGGTGCCATTACACAGAACAGCCTAATATGCATAATTACAGTAATTATGCAGAGTACAGCACAAACAAAAACAAAATTATATGCTGCTTCACACTGGCACTCTTTCAGATAGAAATTCATTTTCACATTTACAGTATTGCAAATATGGACAACATTATTAAAGTAGAATTTGAACATAATTATGCATACCAACTCCATATTAAATTGGTGCTTTCCATCTTCAGTAAGTTGTTGGTAGCTGTTGTGATGTCTTTTTCACGGCACACTAAACCACCTAAATTTTATCAACATGTAAGTCCATCTCTACTTTTCTTTCAACAATACCACTGAAAGTATCACAGCATCTATAACCACCTGCTGCCTTCAAGCTAAAGTCACATCTTCAGGTAATTCTAAAAAGAAATATTTTTTCTTGTTTAGAATTTAAAACATACTTTTTAAGTTTTTCCACATTAAAAAAAAAAAAAAAAGAGAGAGAGAGAGAAAGAAAATATTTTAAGCAGGACAGACTGTTTCATTTCAGTTCAATGATTTTTAAGCAGAATGAAAAGTTGGAGTCCATGGTCTGACACTTCCTACACTGCAGTAACAACCTGCATGAACACATCTCTTTCCAAAATGCACATCCCCTACATCCTATGATAAAATGATAAAATTTCAAGTTACTGTTATTTTATGCATATGGTTACACAGAAGGAGATTCCCTGCTGGGATACAAGATTGCTCTGACTTTGGGCCTGTCACATTGGCTGGGAGGTATCCCAGACCTTTTCCTCCTGTCAGCCCCAGCACAAGGCCCTGGGGTACAACGAGAGGAGATGGGTGAGTATTTAAGTGTTAGGGTGCCTGGAAAGGACTCATCAGGCACCAGAGATAAGACACTGCTGTGACTGAAGGAGGATGCAGAACCCATCTAGACAAGCAGGAAGTGCTTGTAGCCCTGGGGTGTGACTGCAGGCAGTGAGTTGCTGCCGGCACAGAAAACCTGCACTTGGAAACACAGTAGCTGGAAGAGGAAGAATAATGAGTGGCCCAGTTTAAAGCCTCCAAAAGAAGAAGGTTGATGCCAGTGGCAATTTTGGAAGTCTTTCTCACCTGTCTGGACTCTTTCACAAATGGTTTCATCTATCCAGGCTTTTGATACTTAGGAATGGGAAGACAGAGAAAGAAGGATCATTGCAAGCAAGCTGCTGAGAAAAGCAAAACTGAATAATTTGTTAAAGGACTGAATTAGTAGAACAGTTTTCCACATTGTCACATTATGATTACCTCCTTCAGCTCAGAGTAGATACACTGGAAGAGATTAGAACCAAGACCACCAGGAAATGGAAAGATTGCACATGTGAGAGAAGACTCTTGAAGCCCTGCTGCGGGTCAGCTTGGACAGGGATGTTCAGACTTGTCCACACTGATCAAGCATGGAAGAGGCAATCAGCCAGGCTCCTTCAAGCCATGGCCCTGTCCTGAAAGTACCAGGTCTGAAGAACCATCTGAGCAGAAAAGCACGACAATTTAGATCTAATAAGACAAGCCAGAAGTCTTACAGTCATTAAGTTCCTACACATTTCCTGAAAATAGGGTGTGGGTGGAAGAGAAAGAGCTCATTAATGCTGCCTGTGGGGGAAAGGCTGGTGAATAAACTCCCACCTCTTTAGAAACCAGATTGCACACAAGAGACAAAAAGCAAGTGGTTATGAAAATTCCAAGTGCGGGGAAAGCTTGGGGTCTGCAGAGGACCCAAACAAAAAGATCAAAACCCCAGAAACAAACACAAACTTTCCTTCTTCATGTTTTTTGACACTTAGTCTTACCCTTGGGGGTAATCCAATCTATTTTAGTTTCAGGACATGAAAAGGGAAGTGGACCAGATGTATTTGTGCTTCGAGTCTAAGTGTGCACATCTGTAAACCCACATAAGCTTCATGCAGGAAGGAAACACTCCTCAAATAACATGAAGCTGTTAGGTATTTTTAACAGCCCTGAGACTGGGGAATTGCCATCTGTAATTGCTGATGGTAGGTGACCATTGATAAAATTGATGGAGCCCCAGTTGGACTGCATTGCACAGTTGCACAGGGCAACAGTTGACAAGAAAGGAAAAGAAGGGTTCGGTTACCACAAACCAACTAAAACTAAGGTGAAAGCTTTATAATCAAAGTTGTGGTTCACATATTAGATGAATATTCTGCTTCCGTCCGAAGATGTATCCAGCTGAACAAATCAGTTTTGACTCTTTGATGAAATTATCTATTTAATCACATTTACAATCAAATAGCAGCTGACTTCTTCACTGTTAATGTGAGGGAGGAGCTTTTTGTATATATATGTTAGCATTCTATATACTGTGTGGTCTCTGACTGGCTCTCCACCAAGTGAAGGACTCAGCCCTTCACTTTTCTTGGCAGAAAATATCCTACAATTTTCCTAAAGTTCAAGCCTCAATTCTCATCCCTACAGCACTCTGACTATATAATAATCTTCAAGTTGTCACTAAGGAGCTATGGCAATTGCTTGAAGACAATGACCTAAACCAGCTTTTCAAACATCTACTTTTTTTTTTTTCTTATATTCTTTTAATCTAAATAATCACAGAAACAACATATAAAAAAATTAAATATTTTAAATAAGGCAGAGGATATTTTCATTTAATTTCTTTAATCAAAAGATTTTCCAAATGTGACCATTCAAAAGAAACATTTCCACCACAAATACTTGAAAAATAAAATGCATCACATAGAATTATTTCAGCTTCTGACATTTTATTTCCATACCTGATTTATTTTATGGGAGTGTTCTCCATTTTTCTTTATCCTATGATGTTTTTAGAATTAACCTTTTTCCAGATCAAACCACCTCCCTAATAAGTTAATCCTTTTGGATGCAGCACTGAAGTAATCACACCCAAGTCAGCCACAAATGAAGATTGCTCTTAGTGGAACTCACTTATGTCCAAAGGCCAACTTCTCACAGTTTTCGGGGTGGGAGGTTGTTAATCTGGAATCACAGTCACTTCCCAGGAGGTGAGTTGTCTGCAAGCTGCATTGGACTTTGGTTTTGCAAAAGGACAAAACACTAAGCAAGGCATGGAGCCCAGTTTGATTCATGAGAGAGAAACCCTTTCCAGATCCTTCTTCCCCTGCAGGAGACCTGGGCTCTCTACTCTGCGCCAGTTGCCACAAGAAGGTACTAGCCACTCATCAAAAATGTATTCTAGGTTCACAAAGTCATAGATTGGTTGAGTTTGGAAGGTAAATCATCCAGCCCTGATCTGTGATCAGAGCAGAGTCAAAAAAAGACAGTTGCTCAGGGCTGTGTCCAGTCATGTTTTAAACATCTCCAAGGGGTTTTGCCTCAGAGCACTTTTTCCTTGATGTTCAAGAATTGGTGCACTGTACAACCTGTATCAACAAATTTGATAAAAGCAACCATCTCTCCCTAAAACATCACATCTCTTATTAGACCAGAATGGTCTTTTCTACTACTGCTGCTATTGCTACTATAGAATTTCAATTTTATTTTTTGGACCTTAATAGTAGTTTCTACAGATTCTTTGCAAGTAATTAAAATCTCCTGCCTCTTACCTCTGCATATTCAAAGAGATTACCTCATATATTCTCTAAAACTATTATTTATCACATTTATTACCTGAAGATTTAAGCCTTCATTTGAGAGATCAATACAGAACATTTCTGAGCTGTGTACTTCTTCCATTAATCAAGGCACCAAAGGAAGGATCTCCACCAATACAGCTACACCAGTTCTCAGCAGGCATCAATCTCCCTTTAACATCTGTAAAGCATTTATTTAATAATACCAGCTAATTAAATAATCAGAGAAGCATATGTCTATGGAGAACCAGACAAGTATATGCCTATGAAGACTGTTCAACCCCAGGCACACGTGTGAGAATGTGGGTCTTTTCTTCTAATAACTACCGAAGCTAAATTCTTCCTTAACTCTTTATCTTACTGCTCATTTGAATTTCCCAGAAGCATTTATTTTGACTCTAAGAAAATCTGTGATTCAAATCCTTGCAGCTTTGCTGATGCTCAGATTAGATCTCTTCATGGAGCAAAGTGTTCCCCTGGACAGCTCTGCTTAGCAAGATGCAGGGTTTGGTATTTGTGTGAATCAATCCAGACCATTTCAGGGTCACTTTTAGAAAAGGAAAGCCTGCCTGTTAAGACCAGATAAGAGTGAGGTCATTGATTTATTTTTTCCTCATTATCTGGCAAGATTTCAGTTGAAGCCTAAACTCATTATCTCTGTGGAAATACAAACACAACTTGGTCCCTTGAAGCAAGTTAATTTAGTTTGAAAACAGTTAGGGAGTTACCTTCTGAATTCAATTAGCTAATAAGTCCTGATGGGTAAAGGTCACAGAAGAGCAAGGCACTGTGCTGGTTTAAGTTAAATGCAGTTCCAGGTAACATCAGAGCAGCACTTTTCCCCTTCTTACTGAGTCATGGCTGCAGCTTCTGGCCACCATCTCCAAATTCTCTGTCAATAAGAGAGACAAATTTATGCCAGAAGGGCACCTTCAGGGATGAGAACAGCAGCAGTACCTTTGAGCCACAGCTCCTTCAGTGTCTTCCCTTTATACTGGATGTAAATCAGCAGGGGAAGATGTTCCCCCTTTCAACCACACGGAATAAAGCCTCTCTGCTCAACTCATGTTAATCAAGATAATCTGTACATTAAAATCCAAATCCCTCTCTGCAGCAAGATACAGTCAAACACAGGATTCACTTTCTATTCCCAGCTGTAGAGATGGTTCCTATAAGGACTGATGCTGTAGGAGAGCCTGTGTTTCTGCAAAAGACATGACACTTGTGGATCATTCATGGACCACCAGCTGAGAGAGACTGTTTCAGGCTGGGCTGGGAAAGCATTCTCAGCTTAACATCCAAGTTAGAAAACAATACTACGGTAGAAACATTGACAGGCTTGATCACAATATAATAACTGTTGGTATTACTGCTATAATAGAGGGGAAGTAAATGGTGGAAGGGCGGCACATTTTAATTGTTCTCTCAAGGAAACACCGGGCTCTGAACTACAGTAAGCAATCACAAGCTACAAGCAGTTCCCTCTTAGAGAAACAATTTTTCATTTTATAATGTGAAAGTAAATTTCTTGCCAGTATTACCTCAGGTCATTAGCTATATTGTAATTCTTGTGTTTTTCCAAACTGATTTCCCCCTTAATTTGATTTTGAGCAGCTGATTAAATTTACCCTCCTTGAAGAAACAGACATTCAATTTACATTCTCCTGGTATCAAAGTGCAGTTCTCATGGTCACACTTCTAGCTACAGAGTAATTTTGCCACTTCTTTAAAGGGGCATTCTCTAACCAATGACCACATATGTTGGCTTCCTCCTGCACATCCATGTTGTACACAAGCTCAGAAAACAGAACAATAAACTGTACAATGCAAAAGCCACTCTTCAGACAACTACAAATCATTGAATTACAGGATGAAGGAAAACTGAATGCAGCACTGGTATTCATTTTACTTACTCATCCCACAAGGAACCAAATTCCATACCCAGAGGCATAGGTGCCTCTGGTTCATTACCACAGACCCCAGGGCTCTCACCTTCTCAGGTGGCTGGATCAATCCAAACACGTTCTCTCCCAAGACTTCGAGTGGACATCCAGGCTAGGTCTAAATTATTTAAGTAGGGTTCAAACCTTGGGATCCTGTGGGTCTCTGAGCTACTTTATCTGCAAAAACATAAAATAAACATTAAACAGAAACATTATGCAGAAGAATTCTACTGGATCAGGTCAAATGTCCACTTAGTCCAGTATTCCACCACTGACAGGATACCAAGGCAAACAATTTTTAAAAAGGGTAACCATGCAGTAATTTTCTCCACTCTCTCCTCCCCACATTCAGAGCCTGTCACGCAGGCAGCTCCTCAGGCACAAATATCATCTTGTTGCCTATTAGTCCCTGATAGATTTTCTTTCTCTGTTAATTAGCCTGATTGGTTTTGAGCCCATCTACCCTCTTGACACCCAGCAGATACTGTAAGACTGGTTCCAGTTTAGCCACACACCACAAGGACCAAGTTTGCTGTTGTTTGCTTAAGCCACTACCCAGTAATTCCACCCGATGTCCCTTGTTCTTGCTCTGGGAGAAATGCAAACAATCATTTGCTACTTATTTTCTCTGTGCCACTCATGATTTTAAACACCGCTATCGCATGCCTTTCCACCTTCCCTTTTCCCATCTAAAGAGTCTATCTAATCAATCTCAATTCAGAAGCTGTTCTTTGCCTGTGAAAACACTTGTCAGGTTTCTCTGTCCCCTTTGAACATTGGCATACCTTTTCTTAGACGTGGAGACCAGAACAGTGCACAATAATCAGGAGGTGAATGCACAGCAAAATAATTATTTTGTTTGCTGTCTTCCCTAGCAATTTCTGACAATCCATTTGCTTTTGAGCATTACCCTGCCCTCAGCCAGCACTTCTTAGAATTACTGACAGCTAATTTGAGCTCTCTTCCCTGAGTCACAATAGGTTGTTTAAAGCCCATTTCAGCATGGTACAGTCAGGTTTATTTTTTCCCATGTGCGTTATCTTGTGGTTATTGGCATCAAATGCAGACTGCCATTTTACTGCAATGCCACTCACCACATTTGTGAAAGTAGACTTTTATTTTTTCTACCCTGAATAACTCAGTCAAAGAAGCATACAGCACTATTTAGGACATTTTCCAGACCACTTATGAATATGCCAGACATCAGAGAACTCAGTGCAGATCCCTGTGGGATTCCACTTGTTATCTCCCACTGAAATACCTGACTGTTTATTCCTACTCCTCACATCATTTCCAGCAGAGAACTTTCCTTTCATCCTGCTTCTGTTTTGCTTCTTTAGGATCTTCTAACTGAGTAGCTTATCAAAAGCTTTAGGAAAATCTGAGCACACTGTACCAACCAAATCACCCTAATCCACACTCATGTCAGTGCTTCAGACAAAGAGCAGTGGATTTCTCTCAGACACGATTTCTCTTGACAAAAGCCACATTGACATGTTTCCAAAGTCCTTTTTAAATACAGGTGACAAATTGCTGTTTTCCCTTTCTGTGATACAGTAGACATGTGGGGCAGAGGTGCAGGAGTTCCTGTTCCACTACTGGAAGCTGGCAGAATCTGAGAGTCAGTGCAGTGCTTGCAATGACCAGAAGTCCCTCCAGCTTTAACCATGCAAACAAGGCCCTGTTTGCCCTTCTGAACGATGCCAAGCACTGCTTCTTCTCCAGGCATTCCCTGTTTAGTGCCTTCAACATGCAGTCACTCATACTGCTTTACAGCAGCAGAATCCCTCTCATCGTGACTCTTTATCCACTAACACTCCTGCTTTTTCTGCAGCTGCTCGGTTCTGTGAATTATTTCCACACCTTTAGTGCCCAAAACACCCCCACAGAATAACCTTCCAGCCCTCTCCTGCAGCCAGGCTGCACCTTCCTTGTGAACTCAGGCCTTTCTGGAGCTCACGGAGGTGGCTGGCATCTGCTCTCACAGGGGAGAGACCCCTGCCTTTCTCCCCTACGTTCAGCCATCCCTGAAGAACATGACATGATAGAACTATCTTTTAAGAAGTTTTAACAAAACTCCGAATTAAAATTCATGTGGGTTGCCCAGTGAGGAAAATTTTGAATGCACAGAACAATACCGGTGCTTCCTTTTACAACCAGAGACAAATCATTTTAGTGTTATGGCTACTCATGTAAAGCCTGAGACATTAATTAAATTAATTATTGTAAGTGACAGAGTTTCTCTAATAACATTCAGCTATTTGACAACAGACCTGGTAGTTATTTAAAATTGTTGTGGTTATTCCAAATAAAATTTTAACTATGTGAACACACTTGTTTTCTAATTTTACCTGGTTTTATGTTAATAGGCTTGTTCTTATCTTATTCTTATCCCTTTTCAGATTTTTCATTTAACGCCTTGGAAAACATAAATGTGCACATTTCAGCGGCAACTTAGCTTTTCAGAATATATCACAAGTTCTTAGAGATGAATACATAAAATCAGTAAAAAATCCACCAGGATCTTAGGCACTGCTTTGCATGTATGAGGTGCTATCTGTAAAAGAATTCAATCAGAAAATTCATTACAAAATGTGAGAAATGGCCCAGAACCTCCGGTCTAGTATATGCTGAAATTTATGAAGTGGTGTTAAGGGAAAATTGTTTCCAGAAGGCATCAGATAAGATTGCAAAGATAAAGACTTCCAAACAAGGAATTGGAAAACAGACACACAGTGAGGCCAAAATATGCCTTTTTAATTCCAGGTACCAATGCTCTAGTTAACAGATAGATCTGTATTCACTCACGTGAAGAGAGACCAGGGATTAAAAATATTCCTGTCTCTGAAAAGAGGTATTATGAAGTATGTTAATAGTAATGGAGTATTCTCAACTGAGGAGATGAAACCTTTCAGTGGAAGAAAAACACTTGAGTTTTTTCACTGACACGATTAGGTGTCTGTGTGCACACATGTACATATAGAGGCCACGTGAGCTCATGCAGCATTGTAATAACACAGACCCTGAGTTTCTCAGTCTTTTTAATAATGAAAGACGAAACAGCTAAGGTGGCACTACTTTCCTGTTCTGAAACACCCACAAATGTTTGCTTTCACATGAAATGTCTTCTGAGCAGGAACACTTAAGTCCCTGGGGCTACAGTAAGTACCACTAGGCAGTAACTGGTATAATTTACTACAAAATTTGTGCACAAAAAATCTCCCTTCACAGCACTCCAGAAGCCAGAAGGACACATGTACAATGAATATTTCAGGACTTAGAACTCATAAAGAAAGGAAAATTCAGAAATCATAGATCCCAAACCACACCACATTAGGACAATCACTGCACAGAAACTGAGCTTGAATGAACAGTTTCCAACTAATTAAAACCTAATAACCATAGCAATGTTTCCAGCTCTGCATGCTTCACTAAACGTTTAATTTTTTCCACTAACTTTCATTTCATATATTTTAGCAATATTTGTGTCTCTCGATGCATTGCTGGTGCTCAGATTCAGTTCAGTTTTCCCAAGTCATTATTCCACACTAATTTCCTCAGGTGCCTGAGTCAACCTTTGAGAGATGCTGTTCCTCCAAAGCCAAGCCTGCTCCAGATGTTTTGAGGTATTTAACCAGGGCAGCAGCATCTGCTGGGCTGAGTGGGAGCAGGGCAATGCCAGATCCTCCTGGTGATGCCTGTAACCTCTTCTCCAACAAAGCTCTGAAAACAGCCCTGACGCTACTGCATCTCTCAGCAGCAGTTTTCTGCTGGGGAAGAGAGGGTAGAAGAAGCTGCTGGTCTCTCCCTCAGCCAGCCCACAGCAGGACAAGCCTGCAGCCACAGCAAGGCAGCTGTTCAGACCCCACACACTCTGCCCTTACACAAACCTTGTGTAAGAGCCACAACCAAATTTGGCCTGTGGCAAAAGGGTCCTCCCTGCTCTTCTGCTTTCAGCCACGCAAAGGCTGGGCACAGTTGTTCAAGAACACCAGTTTTTGCTTTGTTTCCCCAAAGTCTTTCCTTCAAATGTCTCACAATTATATGGAAGCTGATCTTTCATTCAAAACAACAGCTGTCTGGGGCCTCCATGGAAACCCAGACATGTGAATCCTACACGCACACCGGGAACCAGACAGGTCCAAAGATCTCCAAGTCTCTTACTGCTACTGCTTTTCCTGATCTTCCAACCTCTCAGCATCTGAATTTAGCAACACTGCACAAAAGCTCAAGGCATAGGACTCACCATTTCTTCATTCCAGGCTTGGGGGGCTGTTATCTAGCTCCCTCTGGGGAGCAAGGAAAGAGGGAGCATTTTATTTTGGCTGGTCTGCTGGGAAGCAATCACTGCTGCCCAGCAGAGCTCATGCTCTTCCATTGTGGAAGCACTGCTGTCACCAATAGCAGGCTTCACACCACAAATGTTCAGGCTAAAAGCAAAATCTTTACAGCTTCTGAAAAACAGACAGCCCCTGTAGCTCCAGTCCAGGACAGACTTCTGTCTTCCTTGAGTGGGTGCAGAAGAATTTAGTACATTTACTGACTAGGCTATATGTTGTCATCTGGAGCCTTCTGTTCACTCTTTATTTGCAATTTTTCACAGAAACCCCTCTGTGAGGCAGGACATACTGGTGACAGTCTATCCCTCCCTCCACAATAACAACCCCACAGCAGCTCTCCTGCCTTTAGCAGAAGCACCCAGGAGCACCGAGATGGGAACGTGAATGCACTGAAGCACAAAATGGCTTGGGGTTATAATGAACTACTGACCCCTAACAAACAATTTGGTAAATATAAGCAGTGGTTTGTTGTGGTGACCTACTCAAGTATGTCCAGGCAGAAGGTACAGCAAGCAGTCAGCTCTGAAGGTGTACTGCTACTGCCTGGAGGAGCAGAGCACAAAGCTCACAGCCCAGCCAAGCTTTTCAGTATCAATGCCAACTTGCCACAACAGTTTCTAGATAGCTTTCTAGTAAGAAAACTGAGCAAATGGTTAACAAAAATGAAATTAGCATAGAGATTAGGTCAGGTATTTTTAATGAGGCATTTTTAAAATTAATTATTTCTTGCTAAACACTAAGATGCTTATCTGTTGGTAATGACGCTGCAGACTCACCAGGACAAAAAGCATCACGTCAGGCTTCTGGGAAATGGCATCAAATGTTGCAAACGACCTTGAAGTCTGCTTTCCTACAGGAGATACAGAATCTGACATTTTTGGTGGTTTGGGGTTTTTTTTTTAAACACTGCTTGTTTCATTTCCACTTGGCAAAAATGGTAAAAATACCATCTGGCAGAAAACTTATTTCAGAAATCAACACCCAGGTCATAGAGAGGAACTCCGCTCCATGAACTACTCTGTGTTATCAGCTTTCTTAACTGGCAACTTCAGCTCACTCAATAGTTGCTCACAGCAACTCTTTCAAAGCGTAGGCTTGAGGAATAATCCCTTGCAACAGCTACTTGTGCAGAAGGTCAACACATCATTTTATATATCTCTGCAACATTTACCATCCTCAAAATCTTAGAAAGTTTTTTAATCTTTTTTAAAATAGGGGAATAATTTGGCAGCACCTCCCACACAGTGAATGACAGAGATGACACAAATTTTGACAAGACAGCTGCAGTTGTGAAGTGGTTCAGATATACTCATCCCTATGTCCAGGGACAGGCTTTGGGTCATGCCTGGAATGGAACAGGGAGCATTAGCTGTACTCATGCAGAAGTGCTATTTTATTTTCAGATTACGCCATGGTGTGAACCAACCCGTTCCCCTTTTCATCACTTTAGACTCCATACTGAAGAAAACAGTCAGACTATTCTGGTTCTCATTTTTGTATTACAACTTAAGTGTGCAAGCTGCACACTGTGCTTTATTTTAGGCTTCAAGAGCAGCAGGAAAATGAAAAGCAGCTGCACCCAACTGTAGCAAGTATCAGCATTTTTTAAACATTTTCTTCCATATTTTGATTCTGTAATGATGAATGAGATTGTAGGGTATAAACATATAAATGCTTCGCACACAGGTAGTATACTTCAAGTGTACCACCTATAGTACCTACACCTTGAAACCCCTATGCTTTCACTTAAGAATTTGTAAACTTTCAAACTTCTCCAAACTTCTAAGAATTATGACTTTCTTAAAATTTGCATGTAAACATGCAATAATAAATAAAGCTCATATCTATGTACCATGGGGTTTTTTTCCTTTAATCATGGGAAAACAACAGCACTAGATTTCAAGTTTAGTTGTGGTTGATCAAATATTTACTCTTGCACAGAGGCATGGCTTCCCAAGGCCACTTGGCAAGTTGACAAATCAAAGCAGAGAAAGAGCTTTGACTCTAACAGGAGTTACTTTAGTATTAACCCAAAGTAATTTACAGTTTATTACACAAATTACATGCTAAATTAGACTATTGAATTTATCTGAAGAAGACTTAAGACATATACCTATGGTCCAAAGAACACAAATATTGGGTCCATTTCACTTCCAATTACTAAGAAACTTCGCTTTGTAAGAAAACCTCTAGGTCCTTGCATTAGACCAAGCAGGCAAGCTGAAGTAATTGAACCTCTGAAATAGTTGCAAAATTGAACTGGAATAGGTGAGGATGTTACCATAAAAAAAGGTAAAGCCTTCATTTATTTACAGCAGTTCTAAATGGAGCACAGAGATTTCTGAAAGCACAGAGAAAAACCAGGGCCCGTGCACTCCACTCTGATTAATTAGAGATGATAGCTTTCTGGACTGCTTCCTAAACTCCCAGAAAACTGTGTGCATCTAGCAAAAAAGGAAGCAGAAACAAAAATCCAGTATTGATTTCCGTACTCCATAGTGACCAGGTTAAAACTCATTTTCTGTTATACAACTTCACCTCTATCCCCAGAATTTTTATGGGGTTTTTTTAATTATTTTTTTTTCTTCCTTTTTAAGAGACTACTGTAGTATCGCCACTATCTTCACTCTCAAGAGTTTATTCAATAGAGCACATTTTTTAGTGAAAAATTCTATAAGCTTCATTGTTGTAACAAGTTCACAAGAACTGGGATTGTTTGTGAGGACTGAATATAGATTTCAGCTTGCATTTCCTAGACCTGTAGACCTAGTATTTTAGAGAAGAAAATACCAGATCCCCAGATTTTAGGACATTTCAGACACCTGGAGAATAGATTACTTCAGTTCTTTCAATCAGTATAACAAGCATCGTACTGCCATCTAGTGAGCAATGTAAAAGCCACTGACACATCAAGGTGCATAAGTATTTCTCATTACAAGACATATTTCTCTTTCATAAGTATGACTAGAAAATAAAAGAAAATTTAGGTATGGATCACTGATAGAAAATTGATAATAAAGTTTTGCAAGATAAAAGTAAAGAGGCACAAGGAAGTCAGTATAACAAGAGCTGGGAGTTCTTTATGACCACGTTATCCCACCACCCTTGGAATGCAGCCTTCTCTCCTACATAGATCATGGGATCAGCCATGCTTCAGACAGTAAGGTCTATTTTTTGACAATAGCTAAATATTCCGTTTTCCTTCACTGCCCAAATGCAAGGCATGTAGCACACCCATAAGCTTGAGCAAGGCCTTAGTGGCTATCCACAGAAGAGGCATCCCCCAGGTGTCACCAATAAACATCAGCAGCATCTGTCCCCATTCTGGTTTGAGAGAATATGAAATTAGGTTGCCACAGGGCTTCTTTCCACCCATGAGGCCGTGGTTCAGGCACCTGTGAGGAAAAGGCACAGCTTTGCTTTGTCTGAGCAGAGAAGTGACAAATTTTACACCTTTTCCCAAAGGCTGACTGAGCTCAAGACTTGGACCAGAGTGCTCTAGGCCCAGCTCAGATTTGAGAAGGCAGAACCAAGGATGTGACCCCGAGGGCAGGAGCCTGTGCCCCCCTGTGAATGTCACTGATGGAGGTCACTACACCTGACACAGTGGGTTTACTGCTCTGTGGGTGAAGGTCTGTCTTGGTCAGCATCACCAGACAAAGCTAGCTAGGGGATTTTGGCTAGCAAGATCCTGGCTGTGATGGTCTCAGGGCACAGCAGCCACACGCTGCCAACAGCAGGTCCAGACATCCAGCGCTGGCTTTCCAGGGCAATTCTTCAACTGCCCTTCACAGTTCACTGACTTGTAGAGAACAGCATATGTCTAACAGGTGCTGCTCAGCACTGACTTTCTCTGTCCTCATCAGCACAGCTGTCCAAAAATTGTGCTACTGCACAATGTTGTTTCGGGCACTTTCTTTGAATACATACTTTTTAAAGGAAGAAAAATGAGATAGAGCATAAACACACTTGTAACCCACCCCAAGGTGACAGCCAGAGGAAAACTGATGAGGTCCTGCAAGGACTACGTGATTCGTCAACTCAAGAAGGTGTTTGTGTGTGTTTGTTTTTATTCACAAACTTGTAGATTCTGTCAGCACTTACAGAGGCAGAAGAAAGCTTGGAACAGGAGGTGCTTTAGAAACCATACTCCCCCTCATCCAGTGACTAGCAGTAGCAACTACCCTTTGTTGTTATGCTCAGTCAAACACATCAGTAACGTGCTCTGCCCTGTTCCTATCACACAGGACCTGCAGGGCTTCTGACACCAATGACATAGCAAGCAGAGCTGGCTGGAGGAGAAAGGGAAAGAAATGAAGCAGAACTTTTCTATGGCAGGTGTGTTTGCAGAGGAAAAACACACATTCATCTCTAAACACTAATGTATTCCCCAAAGGTAGGCCACAGGAATAAACATATCTAGGATGCTTCTAATAGTATAAAGTGGCAGATTTGATAAAGTCTATGTTTATGTTTATTCAGTCATACTGCTTCCGCTAGCTGACAACACAAGCAGCAGTCAGAAGTCAGGATGCAGCTCCTGTTCAAGCAAATGGCACCACCCAGCACTTCTCAGCCTGATACACTTTTTCTTCAAGGTCCCTTTGCAATCAGCACACAAACAGCTGACCCCACCAGTCTGGCCTTAGCAAGACCCAAATAGAAGAAGTCTTGTTAAAGACTTAAAATTGTTAATTTTAATTATGGTCATTCTGTTCCAATCCCTCTCACAAAACAGATGTTTTCTACCCTCCTTTCTCCAGCAAACTTTCCTGTGCTACAGATTTTCTTGTCGTGCATGATGAGCAATGCAATATATTTGATAAAATGTCCCTGTAAACCATGAGGAGGATAAAACCAACTGCTAGTTTTACCATCACAATATTGAACATCTGCTCCATCTGTTCCAGGAAATGGTGACAGGTATCTTGCTAAAATATATTACACAAATTTTTCCAAGATATTTTTATGTTCGGTCATTTAAATCGTGGTAATTTTATCACCACACAGAACCCCCATAACCACTTCTAAACTGCTTCAGTAGCCTAAATCACTCCCTGATTACATAACTGTAGTGCCACCATGGCAATGACATCCTGCCACTATCAAGCCCTTTGCCAAAACTGAACCTTCCTCATGGGCCTGGATGCATGACAGGAACGCTGCCTGAGTGCAGTGGGGGAAAGGAAAGATTCAGGAGATTTCCCTTTACACATGCTAAGCCTTCCCAGCTTCGGGTGAGCTGCATAACAGGATGAATGTATCAGTGTTTCTCTTATCACATTTTAACAGCATCACTTAATATCACCAATTTAAACACAACAATGAGCATTCAGTCAAGTATTGAATCATTGGGAAAAGAAAGACTGCTGCCTATTTTCTCCATTTAGACACTGAAGAGTGATATATATTTGGATTTCATCTTGGATTCCATTTATAAATTTTTTCAATTTTTAATCATTTGCAGAAGTCTTGAGAGTACAGCATCAGCCAGAAAGTCTTTCCTGTTGCTTTTTTGAATTCTGTTCCATGCCTATATTATACTTAATCATAACTGAACCTCAAGTTAGAGCTATTAAACTAACATTATATTCTGCAGATAAAAGCCATTTTTGTCTTTCAGTATTTTCTCCACTCACAAGAGGCCTGCTTTTTTTCTATTTTTACTGCATTGGTTTTACTGGTTTTCTCTCTCATTTAGAGATACATGGGAATATATTTATGTTAACATATTTATATGTTAACATAAGGATGTTAACATTATGCAAAGTGCATACCTTGCAACTGCTTTTTTTTTCAACCTCACTGTATGTCTACCTTTCAAAACACTGCCATTTCCTACAGCTCAAAACACCAGCACAAAGAAAAGAGCGGGGCCAACCAAAACAACTTTCTCTGTGAACTCAGAGAGGCCATGACTGTCACTTTTCTTATGAGCACAGAGATTGAGGAAAGCTTGATATAAAATTCAGTGCTACTAGAGTTAGATCATGTAAGACGGTAATCTATGAACACATTTCAGCAAGCTTAAATGTGAAGCTCATCTGATTCTAAGATCAGTGGGAGTACACAAATTGTTTAAGTGCTTTTTTCCACCACAGCCAGACTGCTTAACATGATCAAACAGGTTTTCTTCATCCTCCTTTTAATGACATGACCATGATAGGGAAGGGGTGTCAAACTCAAACAGCAGCACTGAAAAGAACAGGCTTTTCCTGCTTTCAACACTTTGGGAGGTATAAACAGAGAATGGCCACCATCAACTCCCTGTGAAAAAAAACAGGACAAGGGGATCTCATGTGCCATCAAGTCCATCTCCCTTTTAGGCAGACATTTAATACTATTTTTTTATAATTCTACACATGCTGATCAAGCCTGGTAAATAGGCAGGTGTTTTGCTCCTGTACTCATCAGAGGGTTGTTCCAGAGCCTTACACTTCTGAGCCACGATAATCTTCAATCTCTTCCTTCAGGTGGGCAAATGCACCAAAGAAGATTATTACTGTGGCAGTAAGGATATGAGTGGCATGACCCTAAATTGTAGAACCTAGACTGGAACTTAAAGGCAAATATCACAAGAGATGGGAAAGAAAAGGAGAGCCTTCTCAAGAGAAGTCAGAGCTTTGGGAGAAAGGAACACTAAATCATAGGTTAAGAAGTCCAAACATGCCTGCAAGATCTTGTTTCTCCAACTCCTGTGAATTTAATTTTGTGAAGTATCTTTCTAAAAGAGTGAAATCTGTTGCAGAAAACCTCAGAAATATTAGGATTTTTTTCAAGGCAGAGCATAAAATCACAGATACCTTGCTACTACTTTTCTTCCATTACAAAGCCTTTATTCTTTGAAAATCACCCTCAGCATTTTATTTTGCCTCTGCTCTTTACATGCCTGTTCTGTATTATTTTAAAAAAAAGGAGAGAAATTTTACTGTCCATTCTGGCACAGGTATGACACCATACTGAAGCATTTATCACAAATCATCTGCAGAGACAGGCTGCAATGCAGATGCTCCTGACACTGTCAGTCTGGAGAAGAACTTTTACTGGACCACCAGTTTTCCCAGAGGATGACATCCACAGTGCTCAAAGCACAAAAGGTGCTTTTGATAAGGGATGGCTCCAGCTTTTTCACAACCTTATTTTTAAGGACCCTGGGTACAATTTAATTGATACACTTGACAGATGACCTGACCGGTCCCTGCCCAATAGGTATGCCTAGTTCAACCGGAAATTGCACTGCAAAGCCTTACCAACTGCTTGTCACAGCCTACTTACTGTCTTCAAAATCTTGTTATTAAATGCACTGTGGAATTATATTCTATCTGTGCTTATCTGTGACATATGTAATTGTTTCGTGATATGAAACACAATCTACTCAGCACTGAGAAAAATGATCTCTAACAAGGCAAACTTGAACCGAGGCATCTGGGGCATACGGATGATCACAGCGCTGGAGCATCTCCTCTGTAAGCACTGGGGTTGTTCAGCCTGGAGAAGGCTCCAGGGAGACCTTAGAGCAGCCTTCCAGTACCTAAAGAGGGCTTATAAGAAAGATGGGGAGAGACATTTTAGCAGGGCCTATTGTGATAGGAAAAGAGTAATGGTTTTGAATTACAAAACAGTAGATTAACACTAAATATAAGTAAGAAATTTTTTACAATGAGGGTGGCAAAACACTGGCACAGGTTGACCAGAGGTGGATGATCCAATCCTGGAAACATTGAAGGTCAGGCTGGATGAGGCTCTGAGCAATCTGATCTAGGTGAAAATGGTCCTGCCATTGGAGGGGTATTAGAATAGATTATCTTTAAAGGTCCCTTCCAACCCAAACCATTTTGTGTTTCTGTGAATTAAGGCACTTAGTATTTCATTTCTCTCTAACCACGCTGTTACACAGTCACGACGCGAAATACTTGGTGCCCATTCACGAGCTGCTGCCCAGCTGAGCACAATTCAAGGTTTTGGGCCTAAGGCAGTACCCTTTTCCACATTTCCTGTGTTCATGAGACCAGAATGCACAAGCCACACTTGGCATGGCTGGGTACAACCGCGAGTGGTGCCGTGCCCACAGAACCCACGCTGCCACAGATAAGAGATGATAGCAGATAGAGGCCTCTCACAATCATAGTTTCCTTCTGCAATCACACGCTCCGGATACGTGCGCGCTCTCTCCACACACACGTGTACATTTCCCCTCTTTCTCTACACACCTACAAAATTCCCCGTTTCCCCTCCGAGGCCGGAGCACGAGGCCGCAGCCCCGCGGTCACTGCCCGCGCTCAGCGCCCGCGGACGGGGCAGGGCCCGGGGGGCCGTGTCGGGCCGGGGCTCCTGCGCTCTGCCCCGGGGGGCCGTGTCTGGCCGGGGCTCCTGCGCTCTGCCCCGGGAGGCCGGGCCGTGTCGGGCCGGGG